AAACCAGGTGGTTTAGTGGTGTTGCTGCTCCAGGCGAAGTTGGGATGCTGGCGCCACCCCTCATTATATGTGTTGCTGTACGGGTCGAGGCGCCGAGCATTGGCGATGAAGTCCAATTGCTCTTGGGGGGTAGTAGACTCCCTCATAGCCTGGCAGTCTTCCACTAGGTGATTTGAGCTCTCACACCACTGACATTGAGCTACTGGAGGTGTAGCCAAACCTCTGCCCGGAATCAAACTGCTGGGCTGCTTCAATGTCTGCACTAACTCAACTACCTGCTGCTCGAGCCCGGATCTGGTCTCCATGGCGTGCACACCGCGGTCACGGGAATGTCTGCCTCTGCTGCTCTGCCCCCAAGAATGATCTCTGGCAGCCAAGGTGTTGATCATCTGGTTCAGCTCGGGTGGAGTCTTAGTAAGAATATCCCCTCCTGGCATAGAGACTCAATCACCCTCTGGCTGTCTGGAGAGAGAGCACTATAGAAGTTCCCCACTGTGAATGCATCACTGAAGCCATGATGGGGACACTGCCAGAAATATCCCATGTACCGCTCCCAAGCATCACGAAGTGACTCATCTGGCTCTTGGCGGAAGTGAGTGATCTCCCGCTGGATCTCTATAGTCTTCGATGCCGGATAGTACCTGTGCACGAACTTGTCATCCAGATCGTCCCAAGAGGTGATGGACAATGGGGGCTGGGTCTCCAACCACCTCTTAGCATTCCCCGCCAGAGAATAGGGGAAGAGATGAAGGCGGATTGCATCATCAGGGACACCATTCAGCTTGAACCCGTTCGTCAGCTGCAGAAAACAGGAAAGATGTACCCTGGCCTCCTCATCCTTCAAGCCATGGGACTGGATAGAAGATGTAATGAGCTGAATCCAACATGGCTTGATCTCGAAGTTGTTTGCTGGAATAGGCGGGTAGAGGATGACCGGGCGGATGTCAGCAATCCGTGGAGTGTAGTAGTACTCCAAGGTGGGACCCGGCGGCGGTGGATGATGAACCCCATGATCCTGGGGTATGGGGTTGTTCCCCAGGACCTGATTTCCCGAGGGGAGCCTGCTGAGGATTCCCCTGGTGTGGATTGTATTCTCCGTCCATCCCGTACTCTTCCTCAGAATCGCTGCTCAGGTGGTCGTCTATGCGCTCTTCCGTAGCCAGTCTAGCTCGCTGTTGTCTCCTGAGCTGGCAACAGGTGCGATCAATCTCTGGATTCAACGGCAGTAAACCTCCTGACTGGCTACCGGTCATGCACTACCTGCACACACTCAAGCAAGCAAACCCGTGAAGGCACAAGTGGGACAAAGCAAACAAAGCAAAAAGAAAAGCTAAATTAACAGAAATCACTATTCTTCAACAACCTAGTCATCCCCGGCAACGGCGCCAAAAACTTGACTCACTTCTACTGTCACTCCAGGAATTGGCCAAGTGAAACCACTTCCTAAAGCGTAGTATAGCGAGTTTAGGTTTAAATGTCAACCCGGGTCCTAGATTTGATGACTACTCAGTGAATTCTTGTTATCTAGCAATGAAACTTTAATGCAAGTCTAAACTACCAAACAAACAAAGCAAGTAAACGGTTGTATTCAAGTTAAGAGAGGTCACCCGGATATGGTTCCCCCTAGACTGCAGTTAAGCCGGATTGTAATTACCAAGTTCAGTTTCTATGATAGTTATACTGCGGAAGGTTCTTAAACAGCCTGAAGTCTCGACTAAAGGTCTTCAGACCCTCTCAATCTGAGTCTCTAGCGGGCGACTAACCTCCACCGGAGTAAACAGATTGAGGCCTTAACAAACAATCCACTACCGGAGTAAATCCGGTACAGAATAGTGAGTTGGCTCCTCGACTAAAGTCACCAACTCCCTACCTTCAATCAAGGATGCTCTATCAACCTAGGCAGATATTCTCATTCTAGGTTAAAGCAGAAACAACAGGAATTTGATCAGGATTCATGCCATTCAATCAATCAAACCTCAATTGAATATAATCAAATCATAGAATCAGTACTTGGGTTCATACAATCAAACCTAACATACAAATCTAGGGTTCTCCATACCCAGATGAATGGGAGAACTACTCCATGGAGAAAGAAGCAAAAGCAGAATTAGACGCGGAATTCATACTGTGAAGGATGGATTCCTGCTCCTGGACGTTGATTGGCACTCCTCCAAACTCAAGCCAAGCTCCAATGGTGATGAAGATCAAGCTAGGGCACTTGGAGACTCTTGTTCGTCACTTTCTCTCTCTAGGAATCGCTCTGTCTCTCTAAAACTCGAATCCCCTTCTCTTTGGCTAAAAATCTGCTTAAAAGGGCATCAGTGGCCAAAGCACGGTCGAGGGCACGGTCGTGCTTTGCCTCAGCCCGCCCGTGCTTTGGCTAGGGTTAATTACACGGCCATTGTGTTGGAAGAAACACGGCCGTGCTTTGTCTCGGCCCTGCCCGTGTAATCAGCTCATGTTTGCCAAACTCGAATTAGCTCTCGGCAGTAAAAGCAAGGCCACAGAACACGGTCGTGTTCTGTTTTAGGTGTGCCCGTGTTTTGGCTCCAGCTCGACGAAATGACTTCCGAATGCCCCGAAACTCGTGCTTAGCCTTTCCTTTGACGCCTGGGACCTGAAATATGACAAAGTAGCACAACCCGACGTAAAATAGGCCAAAAATACACGACTATGCCCCTCAAACGGATAAGAACTAGGGGTGCAAATACGTGCAATTACATCGTTATCACTTACTCTACAATTGGTTGACTGCGTTGAACACGTACAAGAGCAACCACCATGATCTTCTTCTTCTTCCCGAAAACTCTAATCCTAGAAGGTGAAAGAAAATCAAATCAAACTTCAAATTAGACGGAGCAAATTAGAATAGAGCAAGGACAGCATCGTTACATAAATTCGGTCGACCTAACCTTTATTTGGTCGACCGTCTGGAACCCGAACAGGAAAAACAAACAACAGTCTTCTTCTTCACCAAAAGTCTAACCCTAGAAGAAACCGAATACAGTGTTTGAGTGGCGGTGAAGGTGACATATATTCTTATTTATAGGTATTTAGGACGAGATTAGGGCGAATTAAGTGGTAGACAAGTTAGAACTACCTTTTTGTGTTGGAATCCTTATTCAATACGGATACGGTGTGTAACGGTCGACCACGTACTTCACAGGTCGACCTTTTCTACTATTTGCGGAAATAATTCTGATTTTGATATTGATAAGTTAATGCAATAGAGGTCGACCTTTTTAGAAATGGGGTCGACCTTTTCATGCACAAGGTCGCGCGTTTTGGTAATGAGGTCGGCCGTTTGTATTGTTTGCTTGCCAAAGAGGTCGACCATTTGATGCACAAGATCAACCGTGTTGTTGAACGTCTCAAAACGAAATCTATCGATTCAATCGACCATTATTACCTTTCAGTCGACCGAATTGTGCAAGTTACGATAACTTGCAGTGGTATTATTTAAACGGAAGGATTTTACCCAATGTTGTCAGAACCGAACCGGAGCATGACCCGGTAATGCGAACGGCTCGCACTTTAGTGGTACAACCGGCATTACACCGTTTAAAAACCGTTTAGAGAACCGGTACCTAACAAAAGTTATTAGTATAAATATTGGACATTTCTTAATCAGAGCTCGTCTCTTTCCTTCGAAATTGTGAAATGGAAATAAGGATTCAGTTTGAGAGCCCGACGTTTTTGGTTTATTTCAATTTTCAATTTTATGCAATTTTTTTAATTAAATTTAACGGCTGAATGGCAAAAGCCGGACGAGCGGCTCGAGTGGTTAATCGCCTCAGCCGCTTGTCAACCGCTACATAAAATCGGAGCGGCTTTTAGCATGTTCCGAGCCGATTTTGTGACCGGGTGGCGATTTTACCGGTCGGGCCGAGCCGCTCGGCTCTTCTTTAATAACACTGATTTTACCACAGACCTAATATCTATAAAATATATAAAGGCTTTTCCAAAAACTACCTTCACCATTTCAAAATTCCAGCCCTCCTACGCATCCACGTCAGCACCCTTCCGACCAATCAGATTTTTTCTTAACTCCTTTTTTTTTCTTTTAAGTTTTTCTATACCCCAATTAGAATGTGCCACTTAACTCTCTCTCTCTCTCTCTCTTCTTTTTCAATCTCCCCTACTATTCTTAATTGATCCATATTTATTTTGTTTCAACTCCGAATTTAAATATTATTGCGCGAAAAAATCAGATTTTATGTGATCTACACAAGGATACCCATTTTGATATATGTTTTTTTTAAAACATAGCCACAATCATATATTTACAAGGCATGTTCCTGTTCGATAGTTGCGAAACTATATCAATATCATTCGATTGTACCGCCATAAAGTATATACTAACATAGATCGCATAACAAATTTCTTATTCTACTGAGTTACTAAATTATATCAATGTTTAATTTTGTAATATCATAATAATAATGCACAACAATTTCATGGGTGCTAAAATATTATTGTGCGGTACAAACTAATTTACCTTAAAAAAATCATTTAGCGGCCAACTGGTCGGACTCAAAGATATACAAGATTCGGAATGCGAGAGGACATGACAGACTGAACAAAATAGACACTTTAGGAGGAAAAAAATACCAAAGTACATATTTCAAACAAAATTTACCCGACCAACAGATCGGGTACCAAACTAATATATTGTATTATATTGCTAGAGCGCTGGAGAGCATCTCTGGATTGTACGAGTGAGAAAAAGGGAAATCAAATCAGATTATCAGAGGCAGAGAAACCCTTCCTCGATCTAATTGGAGGTCTCAAACCAGTTTCCGGGGTAACAAACAAAGACTATAGGGCAAAATTAACGAAAAATTCAACTCCAGAGCAAAAAAACACGAAACGAGTTCGTTCGACTGACTCATTGCGTCGGAACGGAGGAACTCGGTAACGCAGTGGATCAGCGGAGGCTGGAATCCGGAGAAGGACGGTGGAGAGAGAGAGAGAGAGAGAGAGAGGCGGTTTTGCCACAGATGGGATGGGGAATGGCGATATACGAAGGGGTGGTGGTGGTAGGCTCACTATGCGGCTTGGGCTGGGCAGGGCTGTGGTTCTTGAACCGCAGGCTTTACAAAGAGTACGAAGAGAAGAGAGTTCTAGTGCAGATAATTTTCAGCGTCGTCTTCGCCTTCTCCTGCAATCTTCTCCAGCTCGTCCTCTACGAGATCATCCCTTTCCTCTCCAAAGAGTAATTGTTCCTCCAGCATCTCTTCTCCTCTTCTGTTTTCTTCCTTCGGCTCACTACTCAGGTGACTTGATTCTGTGACTCAATTGTAGAAGTGGCAGTTGGAGACGGTAGTTCATTTGGAATCGTTCTCCGGGGAATGGAGGTCAATTGCCATTGCTTCTCTTTCATTGGGAGTTCTATCTAGTACCCTATTGAGCATGGAGCTTCGTGGTTCAAAAGCTGCCCTTATATCTGTAGTTTAGCTGTCTGAGTTAGCTGACATAACAGAAATTAATCAGTTACTGGTGGTGCTTATTGCTTGATGATTTTATTTGTAATTTTGACGATCATTTTTTTTAAAACTACGTTGGTGCTAATTATTGGAAGGCAAAGGATGCACTGCGTGGGTTTCTTATCTTCGGCTTGCTCACATTGACTTATTAGTTGCTTGTCTGTTTTCTTTTTGTAGGACGAGATGGATTAACTGGAAAGTGGATCTCTTCTGTTTAATTCTGTTGCTCGTCTTCTTGTTGCCATATTATCATTGCTACTTGATGCTTTGCAACAGTGGTATGTACTTTCGGTTTGCACATTCTACATTCATTTGCCTTGAATTTTGTTCATCTAGTCAATCATGTCCTGCTTCTTTACAAACACAGTGTTTTTTAAGTGGCAAAACGACTGTTGCCGGATGATACGATTGGCACTGTGAATTTCTGGATCATCAAATCCTTCTTGTTGAATGCTTAGCTACAATGTTTTCCGTTATACACTGTCTCAGATATATTGGAGGCTGATAAAAAGTAGTTGTCTAATATCATACCTTTTTAGTTTTTACACTGTCTCAGATATAATAGAGGCTGATAAAAAACAGTTGTATAAAGTCATACCTTTTCTTAATTTTTCTTTTAAATCGGTCTGAATAGGATAGGTGTGCAGAAGGAAAGAGATATCTTAGAGGCCGAGCTATTCATTCCTATACTCTTATGGCAATACTTTCTTCACATGACGAGTGAAAACCTTACAGTTTCACTCTCTGTTGAGCATGTCATAAATTGAATGTGATTCAGTAACCAGGGCCTGAATCTCATTGACACCAATTGTCCCTACTTTCAGAATGATTTACTAATTGCTTTCTTGTGCATCGTTGGCTTAAAAACTTCATATTCTATGTAGGTGTAAGAAAAGAGCGAGCCGCACTTGGAGCCATCTTATTTCTTCTGGCCTTTCTGTACGCTTTCTGGCGCATGGGCATTCACTTCCCCATGCCTTCACCTGATAAAGGTTTTACTAAGCTTCTATGTTGCAATAGTGCCTCTTTGTTCCGACGATCTGAATTCTTAAAGTTTAGTTTCCGTGATGCGGTGGTTTAGACATCAATATTACGGATTCTCTGTTTCACATACTGTTGCTTCTAATGGTACCTTAATTCATTTGCAGGATTTTTTACGATGCCTCAGCTAGTAAGTAGAATCGGCGTCATTGGTGTGACTGTCATGGCTGTTTTGTCTGGTTTTGGAGCTGTGAATTTACCATACAGTTATTTATCTCTCTTTATTAGGTAAGAGAGCAATTACTTTCTTTTCTTTCAAATTTTATGCTTATCAACTAAGCCAATTGTTTGATATGGTTTCAAGCTTCACGCAAATAATGGGTATTCTTGCTCTGAATCTTATGTTTCCAACAAAAATGGTGGTTATAAGATTTAAAAATGTAAATGTCTTCAGTTTGGTGAATCCATTGGGAATTTATCTTTGTGATAGTTGATCTTGACAATGGGTTCCATTGATTGGTCGATGGTACGGATGTGGTTGAATTCCAGAAGAACTTCGTGGTTTCATGACTATGAAACCATTATCCATTACCGATTTCCTCTCATCTTGGCTCAAGAGTGTGTTGATATTTAGTTCATTATGAAGCTTAGTATTCCCAAGGGCCTTTGGCTACTTTATATCAATGAAGCAAATTCAATTGCTGTTTAATGTTTGCTGAGGTTGCTCTTGGATTGAATAGATCGTTACAAAAAACATATATTTGCTCCTTGATAAAGTAATTGTAATTTTTATGTGATAGAGAAATTGAGGAGTCAGAGATCAAGGCGTTAGAAAGACAATTAATGCATTCTATTGAGACTTGCATCACTAAGAAAAAGAAAATTATTCTTGCTCAAATGGAGATGGAGCGCATACAAGGATCTGAGGAGGTAAGTATTAGCCTTTCTTTATCTCTTCGGTTATTCATCTTACCCTAATATGATTAGTTTCAGGAATAGCTAAAGGAAACTAAAACAATTGGAGGAAAAAAACCACAGAAGAAAGGAAGATAATCCATTAGAAGCTACTCTCTTAATTAGCTAAGAATTTGCTGCTCGAAAAAGAGATAAAGAAAGGAATAAGTATTTTTTTAAAGGGTGTGGGGGCTGTTATTGATGCGATTCTTGTGTAATATCATTTATTGTGGTCTGGGCCTCACTGTTCCATTTTTATTTCTGTAAATGTTATCAGTTATACATTTCGCTCTTATAACCTATAAAGTATTGATACGACATGGTTCCTCACATATGTGAGTTTCTCATGGTTGGCTTTTTTGGTGCAGAAGCTAAATGGTAGATCTTTCTTTAAACGGATGCTAGGTACAGTTGTACGGTCTGTTCAAGATGATAAGACAGAGCAAGGTTTATACCTTTGAACCCTTCTTACCTCTCAATAGCAGCATATTTGTCCTGAAATGTATGACCAGGGAGACAGATTCTAGCCATCCTTTTCCGTGGGAGTCATTTCCCTTTTACTTCTGCAATGGCAGTTATTCGTCATCCTGGTTTCTTCTTGGCGGAAGTGGTTATATTTTATGTCTCCGCATGTGTTAGATGATATGCATGGCGTGCAACTCAGTGGGTTGGTTATTTAGCAAAAGGCATTTAGGTGGTTTGTATTTTTACCTTTGATTCATGCTTTCTCCCCAACTTCTTACCGTTCAAAGGAAATAAACCAACTTTGTTGAGGAATGTGACTGACATCAGTGACATGCTGCTGCACATTACACATTTGGTTTCCTTATTCTCCAAAAGCATTTCTCTTTTCAGCCCTGAATAATTTAGTTGAAGTTTCTCTTTTACCCAGATATTAAAAACATGGAAGCAGAAGTACAAGCATTAGATGAGCTTTCAAAGCAGCTGTTCCTGGAAATATATGAGCTGCGGCAAGCTAAGGTTTAATTTCTTGAATTTGGCTTGCTTGATGTATTTACAGCTCATGGCACTTCACTTTGCATATCTGTTTTAGAATCATCAGTATAGTTAATCACACTATATAGTCAAGCAGTAAAAGAAATTAAAAGGCAAAATTGCTCACTAATGTACAAATGGTCCAAATCGATCAGTTCCTATCGGTTTTGGCTTTGGTGACTGTAAAAGATTGAGTCCAGCGTCATATTTCCTTGTTAGGAAAATCATCAAGTGTATTTTAAGATGTAGCTTATGTATGTTCTATTGCTGACACAATTCCTGGAGTCTAGACTAAAGGCAAACCATGTGCTGATTATTGGGCACCAGACTCTTAGTGTCTTAAGAGAATTATGTTTAAACAAAATAGGTGACTTTAGCATGTGTGATTTTATGGTGAGGTGAATATACTGACTGTTTAATTTTGAAACTCAGAACTGAGCAATCGATGTCTTTATAATTGAACTAGGAAAGCAGAATAGGTAAATGACACCATGGGATGGGATAGGGCCATTTAAACTTTAAAGCCTTTTCTGTTCAGGATGATTGACAGCTTGTACTGTCCAAATAATGATACTAGTGCATTTAAGGTTATTTGAGGTTATTTACTGAGCCTGGACAGTGCACGAAGAATGAGCTGATTCAAGTTGCAGGACTGAGGAAAAGGAATGATCTATGTTGATTAGTAGGGTGCCTCTTTTTTCCCTGGTTGGCTCTTTTTTATGTGATAATAGCCCTTGCACTGTTATATCTGTTCGTTTTTACACAACTTTTCTGAAAGGTTAATTGGTTTTTGGTGCATTTGGTAGGTTGTAGGTAGCAACTTTTCTGATATTCTGTAGATTATAGTAATTGCATCTTTCCATTTCTGTATGCTGCAGAAAGATATGTGAAATGTGATTATTTATTTTCAGGAAGCTGCTGCTTTCTCTAGAACTTGGAGGGGACACATGCAAAATTGTCTTGGCTATGCATGTTCAGTCTACTGTGTGTATAAAATGATTAAGGTATGGCTGTGATTTTGTTTATAGTCGGAGGAGATTCACGTTCTCTGCATTTCTGGTTGTCGTCACTCTAGTGTCTACTCTTTGCTTCAAATTATGGTCATTGTTACTGATTGGAGTTTGTATATTTTCTGGCAGTCTTTGCAAAGTGTTATATTCAAAGAGGTACTCTTCTCTCTGTCATAGTTCTGTGTATCCACTTTCTAAATATGTTGCCAAATGCTTCAACCTCTGCTTAAGTTCTTGTCGTTTTTTGCCAGGCTGGATCTGTCGATCCTGTTACAATGACCATTAGTATATCCTTACAGTTCTTTGACATAGGAATCAATGCTGCACTATTGTCACAGGTCAGTTATAATGCTTAACATGGATTCTGCATGCTTATTTAGGTGCTGGTTTATCTTCGTCGTTCTTTTATCAACTTCGACTTTGCAGATAGAAACACTATTATTGTTCTTGTGTTCTCTTGGATGCTTAATCCAGTGTAAATAGTGAAACATCAGTTCAATAGTTTAAATTCCAGAACATTAAAGAGCTACTGAGTTAATTAGGATATTATTGTGGAGTTTATATTCACTGTGATTGGCAAATTGGTGTTTCTAAAAAAAAATGGCAAATTGATATGATTGTGACTTTGTTTAAGCTGTGCTTATTGAACAACAAGGCTGGAAGACTGGTCTAGATTTCTTCAAAAACTACGAAACCTGTCTTGTAGCACCTCTACTTTCTAGATCCCTTTGTGCTTCTGGATTTATGTTTTGTGTGTAACTTTGCTCTTTTATAGACATAGTCGGCCTGCAATTTTCCCAAATTACTCCAATACTAGAGACTTCACTGGAATGAGCTGTCTGCTTCCTTGTCTTCCTCGAGAACTCTAAAGTAAAACTTACGCCTAATTGGTATATGTTTGTTGATGCAGTATATTTCTTTGATGTTCATCGGATTGTTGGTAGTGATATCAGTTCGGGGATTCTTGTCAAATTTGATGAAGGTACTCCTCCCATCTCCATTGCTCTCTGTCATGTCATTTACCATTGGAACCAATCATTTTGATGTTTGAAAGTGAGAATATGGGAGTCTCAGTTTATCTCTGGAATCAAAGTTTGTAGATAGCGGTTTTGGTTGGTACATAATACTGGGGTGGCTGTCTTATTTTATTTTCCCGGGTAGGCACCAAAGAGGAAGCTAAAGAGGTGGTAATGGTTATCTAAACTGGCACTATAGTTGTTGCCATAACAAGCGAAGCAAGAGAAATGTTAATTTCCATCATGTAAGGGTTGTTGAATATATAAATAGAGGTGTGAGAAATGTCCTTCTCAGTCCGACTACGCTACAGATCAGTGAGAAATAGGGGACTCTTGCATGGTAAACCGCAGTTTCCCAGGAACACTGTAGATGGCTGTTCACTGATTCCTTGTTACTTTCAAAGTATCCATCATTATGTTTGTGGATTAACTTTCAAACCTCTTTCTGGCCTGTGTGCAGTTTTTCTTTGCCGTGTCCAGAGTTGGGAGTGGGTCCTCAAGCAACGTTGTGCTTTTCCTGTCTGAAATCATGGGGATGTATTTCCTCTCTTCCATTCTGCTGATAAGGAAAAGTTTAGCCACCGAATACCGGTACGAGTAATTTTGCCTATGTGATGCCCTACCATTTACTCCCAAGTTGCAATCTTTTTGCTTTTTTACGTCCAATTAGAGAAATCTCCAAAATATGCTTCATATTGTGTGTTGGGCAGGATGATCATAACCGACGTGCTAGGTGGAGATATCCAGTTTGACTTCTATCACCGGTGGTTTGACGCCATCTTCGTAGCAAGTGCATTCCTTTCTCTGCTTCTGCTCTCTGCACATTACACGTCTCGCCAGGTCGATAAGCATCCAATTGATTGATAAGCAATACCACCGATTGGTATATGAACCATGTAAGTACGACTCCCAGATGCCGTCTTGTCCTTAGACGGGACATTGGGACAACCCTGACTTGAGAATGTTTATTGAGCATCTCTGCGCGCATGAAGCAACGTTCCCCCCTGGAGAAAAATGCATTAACCAACCTCTGACGCCTTGACCATCTGCAAATCTCAAATACTATGCGAGCAGTGGGGATATGCAGGAGCTATGGAGGAAAGAGGGATCCTTGTAAAGGGCTTCTCTCCCTCCTGGCTTGATGGGGAAAGTTTCAGTGAAAGACATTATTGAGTTCCATAGAATGTGAAAGCAAGACTCTGTTTTGTGTGTGGGAGTCTGTATTATTTGCATAGGTGGACTTGGAAAAATTGAGGTGGATTCGTTGATGCTTCTGCCGTGTTTGTATCTCTACCAATTCTTTTGTTAATTATCATTTTGCAATGTGTAAAGCCATTTTGGTGGATAGAATAAATAGAGTACCTGTGTTGTTAGAAACCAAGGCATTATCGGACAAAAGGCGTACTGGGATTTTAATTAATTTCTCCTTCCAACGACTATGGTGGCGAATTGAATAGTTCTGGGCTTCTGGCTTAACCTTGACGAGAAAAATCAGAGGATGCAGCCAAAACTATACAGTTACAGCATATTATTTTTATTCTCACCTTTGCTTTTACCAAAGCTATAAGTTTCGAATGTATTTGAAAGAGTTATTTGGGTTCAAATATCTTATAATTGATATATATCTTATAATTGATATGATTCTAGACTCTTGAAAGTTGAGATTATTTTGATTATTTTGATAAAAGTTGCAGTCACAATTTTTTTAGATTTTTTTCTGAATTTCTCTCAACACCATGAAAATAAAAGGATAGGGCAGAAATGATGTGCAATCTCATACTTAGGAGAAGGCTCGAACAATATAAGTGTAGAAGCTTGACCACAATAAGGGGAATACTTGATTAATACAGAGACAACATTTAATGCGATTGGAGTTCACCAACGACGGGCCTGGGTTCCTGTGCTTAAGCCCAAAAGCTTAAGCATATGCTTAAACTAATCCTATTGGTTGTTAGTAGATTGAGTGGTTAATTAGTAGTTATTAGTTGATAATTGGTTAAGGGTATTGAGGTAAATTGTGTATTTTATTTATTTAAAATTTAACATATTTTCATAATTAAATAAAAACTAAACGTAAACCCTAAAACCAACCATAGAGCTGCTGGTTAGGTTTTTATTTTTTAAATTCGTCTTCTTCCCAGCCGTGTTCGATGAGACCACTTCCGGCCACGGCCAGCGCAGCCAGCCACCGTCGTCTCCTTCCTTATTGCCACTGGCGTTCCTCTTTCCCCCAACACAAACGATAGGTAATCCTTGTCGGGGAAAAAGCTGCAAACCCTTTGGTTGTCGTCTTACTTACGATTGCACGTTTCTCGTTTATTATAATCGCCGGGAAAAAGATGTCGGAGTTGACGTTGTGGTTTCAGGTACCCGCCGCACGGAAAGATGGCATGGCGACCTTTTTACTTTGAACTTGGTCGTTTGTCATCGTTGAACCTTGTCTTCGCCGGTCTTCATTGTCCTTTTTTCTTCTTACGCAGCCAGGAACCGTCATCGCCGGCGTGAAGGTATGTTACTGTTTTGTTTTTTTGGTTTCAATGGTTTTTTTTTACGATGCCAGCAACGGTCATCACCGGCCCACGGGTAGGTATGTTCTTGTGCTATTAATAAATCCCCATTTAATTGTTAACGATTTTGATATGTACGTCTTACAATAGTTTCAACGTCATCAAACTAGTAATAGTTTTCTATCCATCCGCGTGATTACGATATTTGAGTTATTAATAAATCCCCATTTAATTGTTAACGATTTTGATTGGAGCTATCAATTTTGTTATGGTCGAATGGTAAGCGGCTTATGCATGTATGTGTGATTAAGTCGTGTTATTTATTTCTGACCACTATATAATCATTATCAATATATTTATTTGCCTTTTTTGTAATTATTGACAGTTTTATTATCAATCTCGTTCATTATTAACGATTTTAAATCATGTTTGACTAAATCAGACATTAGTAACAATTTTATCTATGTTTATTAGCTAATTTTCAAGGGTGTATTAAAGTTCTAGAATATATAAACTGAAGCCAATCACTATTAATTATCAACTGGATACAACCTCGTTATCAATTTTTTTGTGTTTATTGACAATTAATGGGGAATCCAATCAAGTATTAGTAACAAGTATTCTTACATCATCAACGAAACACATATAAGATATTAAGGATTTACAATAGCATTATTAACGGTTTGCTATCGCTAAAGAAATTAAGCAAATCCTTTTTAATGTTTATTTATTTTTGTTTGAACGGAAACCAACAGTTTTTTAAAGAAATTGATGGTACTTGACACTTAATATTGCATCGATTCATCATTCATGCTAGTGGTTTGACTATTATCAATTTTCAATTTCGTAAGCAATAATGTTTTGTTACGTTATTAACGGTTTGATGCATCTCTATCAACTTACGAGCATAGTTTATTACATGGTTATTGTTACATAAAATCTAGTTGATCGATTATGTAATTTTCACAAATTTGTTGTGCATCTTTCTTTGTGTAGTTTGACGGCATGACATGAACACGTCACGTAAGACTATTCTACCTGGAAACAAGCCCAAGATCGAGCAGCCATAACTTGAGGGCAATAATTGCAATAGGTCAAATCACATATCCATTATGTAGCAAATGTCAAAGTCGCAGATGGTGAAGAATATCAGTCCCCGTCAATATGCAAAATCAATATTTTTTATATGAATGTAATTGCTAATGATAGAGAAAAAAATGTTAATGTTTTCCAATTTGCATGTGAGGTTTATAAACTGGTTGATATAGTGTATTATATGTTTTTATTATTGTTATCAATTAAAGGTAATGTTACCAACTTTTCTGCTTGAATTATCAATGTTATACAAAAGCATTATCATCTTCTCATAAATATTTTTGTTGTTGTTTGTAAATGATTTTATACTCATTGTTAACGATATAATGTAATGTTATCAACCTTGATGTAATGTAATTGTTATTAGCATTAACAATAATGAAAATTTTAAATATTAACATTTTTAGGCTCAACGTTAACAATCTGATACAATATTATCAATGCTAATGAGATGTATCATTAACAAAATACAAAATCATTATTAATGCTACATTAATAATTATTTACTTATGAAAACATTGTTAATGGTATATCGTCGTGTTTTTTCCGTAAATCATATAAATTTAACATTTACCAATAATTCAAAGATTAAGAGTTCATTGCTAACAATCTTATGTTCTCTTATCAATGTTTCTGGGATACATCATTAACATTTAACAAAACAAATTATTAGTATTAATGTTAAACTATTATTTACAATATTAGCAACATAAAAAATCATTGAAAAATGTTAATAATCACCTGTTATTAACTTTTCTTAATACACCCGTCAACAAAATACTATGAGTTATTATCAATATCATGCACTATAATTATCAACACTTTAGCGACGTATCAGTAACGCTATGCATAACCATTGTTATAATACGTAAATAATAAATGTTGAACGTTCGCAGGACGTGGGCTCCGTCAGGATAGCGGCGGGATGGCGGCGTGAAGGGCGACACTCTGTGTTGTTGGGATGCTGGTGTCGATTTGTTTCAGGAGGTGATGAATTACTCGCTGTCGGCGGCGGCTGGGGCCGGGTTCGACGAGGGGACGATGGTGTCGTTCGATGATGCATTTGGTGGAGGAAAGGGGTCTCCGCGGCGGCAGGGATGGCGGAGGAGGTGGAGGATGGAATAATGGAGGGATGGCAGCGGCTGGATATGGAAAAATATGTTAGGTTTTTATTTTCTCTTTCTATTAATTATTATTTTCCCCCTTAATACCTAGTTTACCCTTACTAACTACCTAACTAATAACCTACCATAAACAAACTAAAATTATTTTAGCCAATAGGAAAGCTTTAAGCATATGCTTAAGTTTTTAGGCTTAAGCACCGGATCTGACCCGCCAACGACGAGAGCAAAATTCACAAGCAAACACTCCATGAACAAATGGGTTTTCAATTAATCAAAGTCTGTCTCAGCCTATAGGCAATTCATTCCTCCACTATTTATAGAGGTTTCTAAACAATGTATCAACCCCTTAATTAAAACTAAAAATCCTCTCCTATCAAATAAGGAATTCAAATACCAAAAGGAAAATGAAATAAATCAAGGATCTGCCCAAAAGGGAAAGGAAATAAAGCAAGGATCCGGTGAGGTGCATCATTCTTCCCGCTTCGAGTATAGGGGTTTCGGGTCGCCCTGGAGGATCACATCAATAATGAACTCGTTTGGCAGCATTTTACTGAAGTGAGTTATTTGAAATAACTCGTACCCCTGTGTTATTTCGAAATAACTCGTTTTACCCTTCTGTTTTTGCCCAATACAACATGTTGAATACCACATTTGAATGGTTCTACGAGATACTTTAATTTAATAATCATTGAAATAACACTGAAATGTCACATGAATAATTAATGAGTTATTTGACTATACAAATACCATATTGACAATTATTCCATCCACACAATCCCATAATGGGTTATTAGGACGCAAATAACTCGTTTGACAGCATTTTACTGAAGTGTGAGTTATTTGGGCAGTGAGTTAACTACAAATATAAAATAACTCATACCCCTATGTTATTTCAGAATAAGTCGTTTTACCATTCTGTTTTTGCCAAATACAACAATTTTGTGGTTCTACCAAGCGAGATATTTTAATTCAATTACCACTGAAATAACTAAAATAACACATGAACAATTAATAAATTATTTAATTCTACAAATAACATATTAATAATAAATCCATCCAAACTACCCATAATGTAATTTAGATCGGTTGTCTTTCCTCGAGCTCATCTATCGCACTTCACCACCATTATCTAACACAA